CCCCCCCCCCCTCTTTCCTTTGTCTTTATTTCTTCTCTCACATGATCGCTCGAGTGGAACCGTAAATGAATTTTCAATCTCTCCGTATTTTTCTTTTTCATTCTAATCTACAGCCCTACCCACACCCACTCGCATAAAAAATTCTTCCAGAACATATCTCAAATATTAATCTATCTTGATGAGCACTTGATGTATAAAACAACTCAAAAGTTATTCTCCAAGAAATGTCATTAGATAAGTTCTCCCTTAAAATAAGTGATATTTATGAAAAAATATCAACACCAACAACGTGTTGTCGATGAAGGTGTTTGCCCAAGGACCTCTTTTAGAGAATAATAAAGATATTGATGATGACTGACCCATAACTTTTGCTACTAGTATGAGTTATGGATGCTTTCATATAGCACTCAAGCACAACTGAATGATGCCAAGAGGACGTTGACGCAAAAGCATGAGATACAAATATGGAACATCAAACAAACCATGTTGCCAAGTCCGAAATCAGGATTCAAAGTTTACACATGCATTTTTTTTTCAAGACTTTGTTTAAAGGGGCTACCTGAAAATCTAGATGAACAACAGTAAAGCTCAAATCATTACTTACAAGCTTTATATATTAGAAGCTTTCTTAATATGATATAACCAATGAATAATCTTTCAAGTTAAAACTTTCTATATTTTATTAAATTAGACATTAGATTAGCTTTTAAGCTAAGCATGCAGCCCATTCCACATATTAGGACTGTACATACACAGGCCCATTTCTGATTGTATATTGACCTATATGTTTAACATGTTGTGTTGTGACTGCATTATCACTTCAGGGAAATAGATCTTCTATTCTCTACCTACTAGAGATCAAGGTCTTAAATATCAGTTATCGGAAATTTATCCGACGGTCAAAATCCATATCAGATAGCGAGTATCGGGGATAAGTAGTATTTATCATAGTGACATTACCAGATGGTGGTAAACATTATATAATATTCTAAAATGTAATTTAAACATACTTAATGAAATATAAACATACCAAAATGTAAATAATTATGTTTAGGATCACTAACCAATGGTAGAAACCCGGGTCATGTTGGGTTTAAAATACATTGAATGAGTGCCTGTTGCTCAAAATTAAAACTCAAACTAAAGGCAAATAATTTTGATTTTTAGGCCAACAATATCAGCCGATAACTCACTTTATCGCTGCATTATCAGTGATAAACATCCAAAAATGATGACCGATTTAGAATTAAACTTATCATAGCGGAAGGCCTCCAAAACCAATAAATCGCCGATAATACTAGTTTGTCGGCCGATATTTAAAACATTGTTAGAGACTACACACGAACTTAAGTAATAAAGTCTGGCCTGCATCACAAACCTTTATCGTACTCGTGTTGGAAAAAATTTAAGAATTAATTGACCATATAATCTTCCCAAAGTAGTTTAGCGAGGATCCGGAAAGAGTTATCCTAGGCTTTAGAAAAGGCTGAAGCAAGAGTCAATCTATATTTTTTAAGCTGAAATGCTTTTATGTTCCCTAAATTTATTCTAGTTCCTCCATGGAGCCTTCTCATATAAATTAAATCATTTATACACAACTATGAAGCTTTGTCTTGGTTCATGAGCACATGTACTTTTGTGTGGTTCTAGTTAATGAAAAGCCTCTCTACCCTTATGATCATGGGTAGCTCTGGTTAAAGGAAAGAATTATTAGATTGATACCCTTATTAGATCAACACAGAAAGATCTAAATGACGATCCTGCTATTGGATTAACAGTATAATTGTTTCTGCAAATGATGATCCCCCCTCCTCTGCACTAAATTGTCTCTCATCCTATTATCACATCTTGTTGTTTTAATACAGTTGTTATTGTCCTTTGGTGTTATGAACTAGCGCTATTTTGTACTCACAATTTGCATTGTATGCCATTATTCATCTCTCTCCACCTCTAGGAGGCTACCTACCTAGGGAATACTCAGATACTCTTCCCGGAAACGTTTGAATATAAGATGATGATGTTTTAAGTATTGTAATGCAAAAAACCAATTGTATTCCCTCATTGACTGCAAGTGGCAACAGACAATATCAAAGAGAAGCAAAATAATATCATTTATGTACTAAAATAAGGGCGTAAATGGTACATGATAAACCCAATCCATCCGACAACAAAAAATCAAATTCAGATTGTAGGAAAGTGTACCCAGATTAACCTTATCCAGTTTAGTCCAAAAATATCGGATTCAGATAATGAAAAGTGTACACAAATTCCTACAGGGTTAAATTAATGTTAAGTCTACAAGTTTGGATATATCACTGGTCGGATTTGGATTTCATATGATCCAAAATTGTTAACCTGGGATCTGACCTTTTATAGTCCAAGGTGCTGCCAATAAATAAAGAAACTTGAATGCGTCAATCGGACAATTGATTGTAATGATGTATTGAATTCAAAGTTAATATTCCATTTCACCAGATACGTAGAAAAATGGCCTGTAAACATTTATTTTGAACTCAAGTCACCAATATTTCATTTCCCTAAGAGTTTAATGGGAAAATAAAGCTTAAATTTAAATCAATTTACTACAAATTCCAATGACATTCAAATTAAACTTTAGCTCTAACTTCTTTTACTGTTTAATTACCTAATCTTACAACCTAAAGCCTGATACTTAAACCGATTGATTAATGGTATAGATTGGATCACAATCCTATTTGGGGTATTGGATTGGATTCAGATACGTATGCAGATCCATGTATATCTTTTGGATTTGGATCCAGGTTGGACTCGAATGATATCCAAATCCAATGCATTTAAAACCCTGGACTTAAGCCATAAGAAATACATTTTAAATAACTTACACTGCGAGGAGTTTTCCGTCAGGTGATACATTAAAGGCAGATATCCCGTCACGTACAATCTTCTTTGACCCAACTCTTTGCCATGAACCAACATTCCAAGAGATAATTTTCCCATATTTACCTGTAAATTCAGAGTCAGATGGTGAAATAAACAACAAAAGAGTGGTCAATAGGAAAAACAAAGTCTAGAAATGTCACCATGCATTGCAGTTGCATACAACATCTGATTTTCACCCGAGCTCTGAGAGAACCTGCAGAAGCCAAACATTTCACCCTGAAAATGTATATCATTTGGATCCACGAATTTAATAAAGTATTGGAATAATTGCCACTAAATTAAATACTTACATCTTCTCTTTGTAAGCTGGCTGCAGCTGCTGCTGATGTCAGGTCCCAAAGCCTGCTAGGCCCTTTACTCCACAAAGACACAAGATACTTTGAATCATAGCTGCAACATGTGTTTCAAGTGAAAAAAGGTACTACAAGCTTCACATGACATGAAGTTTCAAAAAGATCAAAACACAAATATGCAACACACTTTCACCTGAAATCCAAATCCTTTATGGCATTGTTAGCATCAGTTTGGTCAAGAATGATTTCCATGCTTGGCCACTTGAAAACCCTTAGATGCCCATCCTATTAAAGCAGTATAAAATTAATAAATTGAAAAACTTTCAATCATAGCTGGCTTTCATAGGCAAAAGACACATGAAGAATTTCAATAGCAAGTTCAGAATATTAATCCAAGTGTAGCTATACCATGCCTTAAAAAGATATTTTGTTGACCATCAACCCCAACCTAAACACTCATCGCTGACCTTAATATGTTAAAGTGAGGTATGGACATGTAACCACTGATTCTGCATCAAGATCAGTCCACAAATCTTCTACCTATGGACAACATGCTTTTTTCTTAAGTTCAATAAAAACGTACCATCCTATTTATCTATAATTGCTAGTAGAATACTGGAGAAAGGAGATAAATAAAGGGACAAACAAAAAAGAACATAGAAAAAGAAAGTAGAAACCGATAGGATAGAGATGTCCAAGGTAAGACTGGAAGAACATTGCACTATATGTTGTACAGGGACTTGGTATCTATGTTCATTCATGAAGAAGAAAAAGAAAGCCAATCCATAGGTTATCTAGGTCTCAGCCATTTGACTAGGACACAGTATCTCTGCAAAACAGTTAAAGAACTATTATCCATCAAACAACTTTATACAACTTCATATCACTGGCACCAAAGTATTTAGCATAGGCTTTGCAGAACTTGACATCCATGCTGAACATCAATTTGAAAAGTGGTTATCACTCCCAAGCATCCTGCTCATCAATAATGAAGGTGTATGCTCCTTATGGTTCCATCTCCTGCATGCTTCTTGTGTTTTCATCTAAATCAATAAGATCCTCTATCCATCGCTTTGTCATACCCTCCTCTTCCTATGGCACTTGATTGTAATGATAAAGGCTGAATTTTTGTAAGGACAATTGAAAGAATTATATAACTTTGACATGACAATTGTAATAGTCAACTAAAATCAGCCTCCTGAAAGCTAGCACAGTTGTCTCTAATTCCCTGATATGAACAATAGGCTGGAACGATAGAGATGGCACAATAAAGAAAAAGGTCATTCTAAAACGGACAGATAAATATTGAAAATGGAATTGTAAAACATGTATTTTTCATGCATTTGGTCAGCCAATACAAATGCTTTACGTGCTGGATAAAGAGATTTATGCCAGATTACAACTAACAACAGCTACTACTATGGGTTCAGTAAACTGGAGTACAGAATTAGGAAAAATAGTTGATACGGGTGTATCTTCTCTTCGGGAGCTTAGCGATCCTCATGGGAGCTTGAGGATAGATGATTCTCATGGTATCTTGAGAATAGAGTAGAGGAGTCGTGGACGAGGTCATTGGAGGTGGCGAAGTTGACGGATTCGTCAAACTGCAGGAATTACAGCTGGGCTCTGGACGGTCGACCGACTTGGTCACAGCGGTCGACCGCGTAGTGCACAGACCCAGACTGTGTCTCTGGACTGAGAGCGGTCAACCGATGTAGGCGTTGCGGTCGACCGGAAACCCTGTAATCGATTTTTCCAGAAATCGATGTTCTGGCCAGTCGACCGACGTGGTCACAACGGTCGACCACGTAGCGGTTATGGGCCTGGGCTTGTTTCCTGGACCGTTTAGGATTTCTATTTAGTATAAATAGAAACACGACTTTTCTAGGGTTTATCACTGAGATTGTAATCAGAAAAGAGATCAAGGAGGTTGTTCTTTGATCTAGAGAGATTGTGAGAGAGAGATTTTGTAAATCCAATTGATTCTCATAATCTAGAGAAGATATTTTTCTTCGTCCTAATTATAACTCTTGTGTTCTTCTGTCGTTTTCTTTTCTACCCACTCTTGATAATTCCGCGATCAAGAGTGCTCGCACGGCAACTCGTACTAAGTTGGTATCAGAGCACCTAGATCGTGTGAAGGGGAACCTGTGTATGGTCCTTACTCGCTCACAGTACAAGAAGCTTGGCGAGATCCTTATTTCTTTGGAGGGAGTCCAGAAATTAAGGAAGGAGAATATGACTGAAACAGATAATTTAGCAAGATTTGATGTCATGGAGAAGCGGATTGAGACGATCGGAATGACTCTTACTCAACTCGTGGGTCTCATCAACGGAGGAGACAAAAAGGAGGAATCTTCTTCGAAGGGTAAGAAGAAACTCGTCGAATCCGACGAAGAGAGCGAGGAATCTGATTCAGAGGAGGAGACTGAGATTGTCAAGACTGTTGGACATCAAGGGGGTAAGAATAATTACCAAAATCTGAAGATTGACTTCAAGGTTGAGATTCCTATTTATGATGGAAGTATCAATGTGGAGAAGCTTGATAATTGGATCGAACGTATGGAGATGTACTTCACTCTCTACGGATATTCGCCCAAGGAGAAGATAGTGTTCGCGACATTGAAGTTTTCAGGGCACGCGTTGACGTGGTGGAAATCCTATTGCAAACAGAAGAAGAAAGCGGCGTCGTGGAACAAGTTCAAGGAGCTACTTCGGAAATAATTATATCCAGTGGGGTTCCTTGAGGAGCGTTGGTACAAGTGGTATGGCTTGCGTCAAAAGTTTAATCAGACCGTTCAAGAGTACACGACGGAGTTCCAGCAGCAGACGATGGTTCTAAACATCGCAACGGACGAGTACCCCATCTTCATGAAGTACATAGCGGGTCTGAATGATTACATCCGGAAGGAGATGAATCTGTTTTCGATTGAGACAATCGCAGAGGCGAGCGTGAAGACCATAGCCATTGAGGGCAGGCAAAAGAAGGCCAACGAGACAAAGGGGGATTCCAAACCATCGGGGAGCAAGACGGGTGGCTCTCAGTCTAAAGATGAGAAGAAGGGTGACTCGGGAAAAGCAGGATTGACATGCAATCACTGCAAACAAACAGGGCACGTGGCTGATCGTTGCTGGGATAAGTATCCTCATCTGAAGCCAAAAGGGTTGGAGAAGAAGGCGTACGTGATAGCACAGAATCCGAAGGAGGTTCCCGGGATGACTGAACCCAATAGCAGTCTCAACCTTATGGCGGAAAAGTAGGCGACTAAAGAAGATGACGACCCAAGGAAGCAGCTCTTTGTTCTGAAGTTGCAGGTCAAGACCAGTTTAGTGGATACTATTATAGATATAGGGAGCCAAAAAAATCTGATATCTGAGACATTAGTACAGAAGCTGAGATTAAAGACGGTGAAGCATCTGAAACCCTATCCATTAGGGTGGATTCAGAAGGAGGCGGGATTGAGTGTGGTGAACCAGTGTTCATTCAGATTTGCACTCCATGAGTCGTATATTGACGAGCTCACATGCGACGTGGTTCTGTTGGATGTTTGCCAAGTTATTTTAGGTAATCCTTATTTGTGGGATAGATACGCAGTAATGATCGGCGAAACCAAAAGTATACGTTCACCAAGGATGACGAGCAATTTATTTTTCGTTCGGCATCTCTTCCACAGGAGACGAGCTTGGTGACGGTGACTCAGGCTAAGAGGTTGGTGAATACGGGAAGAAAGTTTGTTTTATTGTTCATTCGACCGTATGAAGAGCAGCTGAGTAGAATGTGCTTGTTCACCTTGAGCAAGCTTCAGGAGGGAGATCTTGACAGGTTAAAGGCCAAGTATGCGGACTTATTTTCGGAGATCACGGGACTACCACCACGTCGAGGTGTAGAGCATGAGATTATGTTAACCGGGGAGAGTTCCTTACCTAACATAAGTCTATACCGCACATCAGTACAGGAGTCCGAGGAGATTAAGAAGCAGGTTCAGGAGCTCTTGGAGACGGGAGTGATTGTGCCAAGTTGTTCGCCTTGGGGGTCACCAGTGTTGTTGGTGCCCAAAAAGGATGGAGGCTGGCGCATGTGCGTAGATTACCGGGCGCTCAACAAGATAACCATCAAGAATCGCTACCCATTACCGCGGAACGATGATCTTATGGACCAGTTGGAGGGAACGAGGTTTTTCACGAAGCTGGATTTGAAGTCTGGTTACCATCAGGTGAGAATTCGGGAGGAAGACACTTGGAAGACTGCGTTTCGGATTCTCGATCAGATTGATGATAACGCTTTTCGATTAGATTTACCGCCTTACTTAGGCATGTATTCGGTGATCAATGTCGAGTACTTGAAGTTGTTTGAACCTCCGTTATTGGATGATAAAGGTGATGACAAGATGATCTTACCGCATGTTAAAGACTTGTGATTTAATAGAGAGGAGCCACTGAAAGAAGATTACATTTTGGAACGGAAGACGACCACGACGAGGCGAGGGACGAAGGAGTCATTTCTCATTGGACGTCAAGGTCAGGTTCCTAGCAAAGCTAAGTGGTTCAACAGAGAAGAAGGGCTCGCGAGTTCCCTCGGCTGAAGTTCTAACTTGAATGGGACTTCAAGTTCCTAAAGGGGGACCCAGGATACGGGTGTATCTTCTCTTCGGGAGCTTAGCGATCCTCATGGGAGCTTGAGAATAAATGATTCTCATGGTATCTTGAGAATAGAATAGAGGAGTCGTGGACGAGGTCATTGGAGGTGGCGAAGTTGACGGATTCGTCAAACTGCAGGAATTACAGCTGGGCTCTGGCCGGTCGACCGACTTGATCACAGCGGTCGACCGCGTAGTGCACAGACCCAGACTGTCTCTGGACTGAGAGCGGTCAACCGATGTAGGCGATGCGGTCGATCGGAAACCCTGTAATTGATTTTTCCAGAAATCGATGTTCTGGCCGGTCGACCGACGTGGTCACAGCGGTCGACCGCGTAGCGGTTCTGGCCGGTCGACCGACGTGGTCACAGCGGTCGACCGCGTAGCGGTTATGGGCCTGGGCCTGTTTCCTGTACCGTTTAGGATTTCTATTTAGTATAAATAGAAACACGACTTTTCTAGGGTTTATCACTGAGATTGTAATCAGAAAAGAGATCAGGGAGGTTGTTCTTTGATCTAGAGAGATTGTGAGAGAGAGATTTTGTAAATTCAATTGATTCTCATAATCTAGAGAAGGTATTTTCCTTCGCCCTAATTATAACTCTTGTGTTCTTCTGTCGTTTTCTTCTCTACCCACTCTTGATAATT